ACCTAGGTTAAGGTGCTGTCTTTCTGTTTCCTCCACTGTACAGCTACTGTGCCCATGTTCCTGTGTTCTTGTTTTTGGAAGGGAGTCTAGCCCACCCAGGAGGGTGGTAGGAGCCGAACTAAACCTCAATTCCTGGAAGGAGAAATATCTACTATGTTATTTGGAATTCCTGTAAAGAGTTTTCTGTCTCTGTGTATTCAAATATTTATTGACTTATATCCATATTGAGTGTATTTATTTTATACACTGGGTTATAACCCAGTACTATGTAATTTATTTTAGTGTTCAGACCATTTCAGCTTTGGGCTTTAGGAGCTCCTTCTGGTTGGCCCCTGGACCTTTGAACTTGGTCCATCATTTTGCTTCTTGAGCAACTTCTCTTTCTGGTATACCAAATGCTGCAGACCCTTCTCTTTTCCCTGCCCCAGACTAAGAATCAGCCATTTCCCCCGGAAGCCTTTGATCCTTTTTATTACAGCATGGAATTTAGAGCCCACAGGAGTGCTTGTCACTGCAGTGGTGCAGCCGCTGCTGAGCCCCCTCACAGACAGAGCCGGGTGGTGTATGTGTGTACACTAAGCCATGTCCACAAGTGTCTACACTGTGCCAGGCCTATTCACCTGTCATGTACTGAGTTTCCTACGGACATCGCTCACTCTACTCCAGTTTCAGGATTCCTTCCAGGTTTCTTGCTTATCTGTAACTTTCTTCTCTGGCAGTGTAGACAGCCAGGCCCACCATGTGGCCTTCATTTACTTATATGTTCAAGGGCCGGAGATTTAGCTCAGTGGTGCTGCCGCCTGCCTCACAAGCGCAAGGTCCTGAGTTTGATCCCCAGTACCAAAAAAAAAAAAGCGGCACACTTATATGTTCAACCCCAGTACTCCTGGGAAGCAATCCGTAACCTATACTCTATGGGAAATAATCTTACCAACTATAAGAATTTCCAGGCAAAACTGTTTTCCAGAGTTATCTGGGCGTGCCCTTCCTGTTCCCCAACCCCCGTTAGTGCAGGTGCACCATGCATCTGTAAGAAACTTGGTGTCCTTTTATTAATGCACTGCTTCCTGGCTCCAAATGCTCACCTTAATAAAATGTACTCATGCATATCTCAGAAACACAGTTCAGTCAACAGTGGGCCACTGTGGTCCCATAAGATTATAACAGAGCAGAACATTTTCTGTCATATTTTCTGGACATTGCGATTGCTCCTAGTGCAGCCGTGCACCACTGTTTGGTCTGGTACTAAGTTCTCCAGGTATCTGTCCTTTACAGAGGGCACGATGCTAAGATTTATCAGTAGAGGACGCTAGACGGCCATTGCAAGAGGAAAGTGCGCGCGGGCTGCAATTTACAGCAGCTGGAGCGGGGCTGTGTGGCCAGGGACCCGCTCTCCCACGGGCCAGGTGTGCTGACTGCCTCAACTGCAGCTCTCTCCACACTCCTTGGAGGCTGGCTGCTGGCCCAGTCCCTCTCTAACTTGCCTACCCTCCACTTTGAGGCCTGTGTATCCAGCTGCCTCGGGGCTCAGGAGCCCTGACCCCTCTGGACACCGCACAGGGGTTCCTAACTGCCTGAGAGGGTCTCACCAAGCTGCTAAATTGCCCAGGGTGAAGTTGCAACCCTCCAGTCTCAGCCTCCCAGAGCTGGCATTACAGGTGTGCACCACTATTGTAGATAGGTGAGTTAATTAGATGTCTCGTAGGCAGTTACACAGGGCTGGCCCTCCTCCAGGAGCCAACATGGAGGACAATCAAGAGACATTCACTGAAGGCCAGTGTTGTAAAAGGAGAGGAACTACCTCACCCCTATACTTCCCCTGGGGATGAATAGCAGTGATTGATATTCTAAATAGGCATCAATCACCTGGGTGAGGACCAAGGTCTTAACCCACCCCTTCCAGGATTGATCCCTGACCCACCCTTACCGAAAATCCTCATATGCTTGCTATGTGACTTGCTTCCCCATTGGATCCCCATTTAATCAATATTACCTAAGCAACTGTACTTGCAATCTTGCTAGTGGACTATAGTTTGTCCCACTTTGAACCCGCCTCGCCTCATGGCTTTATCCCAAAAAACACCTTTCAGAAGCAGGGTTAGCAGGCAACCCACTTTCCAGTCTCTTTCTCTCAGTGGATTTTTCCAGACTCTTAACCTCAGTGGTTCCTAGAATTCATTCTTCGATTTTAGAAAACACGAACTCAAGTTTCGGATATCTAGCAGGTTTGGGAGTTGCATCTATTCCCCCTATATCACCACCGTGCCTAGCTCAATAGTATTGTAATACAAGTACCTTACACTAAAATTGTTATCATAGAATAAAAATGTATTGCTTATCTGAAATCCAAATTGAACTGGGCATCCTGAATTTTGTTTTCTTTGCGCAACCTGAGTATCCTGGCCTTTACACAGGCCCAGCCAGATGCTTCTGAAGCCCCCGCTCCCCCAACTCCCAAACCAGCCTAAGGGGAAGGAAACTCAGAGCCCTCCCAGCCTGGGCCTAACCCCACCCCCCCCTCTAAAGAGATGGTGAGAGTGAGTCAAGAAAGTCTCAGTATAAATTTTCTGGTTAGAAGATGCTAATGTCAAAGTCATGTGTGTTTTGTAGACAATAAAAATTAGAAAAGGAAAAAAAAATTAAGTTTTATAATAACAATAATAAAAAAGAAAGGACCTAAGAAGAAATCTAATAAAAGTTGTTGAAAATTTTTATGGAAAGATTATTTAACTTTATTACAGACGTTAAGAAGGCCAACTCTCTCCCAAAAGGAGAGTGGTACCAGGTCTGTGGATGAGACATCTGAAAACCAGAAGCTCCAAAGAGGTCCCGGGCCCTCCCTGCAGTCTTTCTGTCTTTGGGTTTGTGCCCGGCAAAGACAGGATGGTCCTGGAGTCCAGTTTCTTAGTCTACGGTATTTGACCTAGCTTTGAGCCCGGTAGGGCTGGGTCAGTTCCTACCCCGGAGCTGTGGATCGGGCCCTCCTAGAAGGTTGGTCGTTCTGGACCACTGTGCAGCTGAGGCAGGAGGCAGCTGAGGAGAAGCCCGGGAAAGAAGGGAGGCTTTCTGGACCGAGTCCATCTTCTAGTTCAACATCAGCCCGGGACCAGGACGCCCATGTCCCAGTTCAGCGGGAACACGTGACTGAGCTTTCACGCGAAGTTATCAAGACATGCACCCAGCAGTCTCCCGTGACCTCGGCCTCCCGCTCTGATCACCAGGTCCCTAGCCACGCAAATTTGACCCCCGTGGGCCGTGGGCGCCATGGCAGTTCCTCCCAGGGCCACAGAAGGTCAACGCCTCCACTGCCCTACGGAGGAGCTGAGTCAAGCGCTCTTGGGCGGGAGCCACACCTCAGAGCAAACCCCAGCCCCATCCCAGCCCCTCAGCTCCAGCCCCTTGGCCGGAGCTCTTCTCCCCGGCGGCTCCCGCCTGTGCGGTGGGTCTTGTCTTTTCTCTTTCAAAGAGTCGCCCTCCAGCGCCACCTGCTGTCCTCTGTTCCCAGACACCCTGAGAAGCCCCACCCGGCAATAACTAAAACCTCTGCGTTTCATCTGACTTCGCGTCACTGCCTGGTCTGTCAACCAAAGAAACTTCAGATCACCAAACCTATCTCAAGATTTTTAATGACATCAGCAAAGATGCTTTTCCAAATACACATGCCCAGCGGTGTTACGGGATGGAAGGTCCCATGGGGATTTTGTCCAGGTCGTTGGTGTCCTCAACACGAAACTGGACAAGGCCCACAAAGAGGCAGCGAAGGTGTCCGTTTATTGAAGGTGGAAAAGAAGATCACTCTGCAGAGGGAGGGCAGCGGTGAAGGCTCACAGCAGCCCTGAGCGTAAGGGAAGGGGTCTTTTGTACCCAAGACTCCCAGGTTATCTCTGGCCCCTGCAAATGAGACATTGGGAGAGTCGTCCTGTCCATCACTCACTTGGCTCATGCCAGTGTAAACTGTCGATCAAGAAGCTTGCTTGGCTTCCTGCCATATGCAAATGAAGGATCAGGAATTGTGCCTTTTAATTGGTTGTGCCCACATGCAAATGAAGGATTGAAAAGAGCATCTTCTGATTGGTCCTGTGACTGAGGACTGAAAATAGAATTTTGCTGATTGGTTCTGTGTATAGTGGTGATGACCTCACAGCCCTTGGAGTGGCTCTCTCCCTGGGAGTGCTGCTCTGCCTTGTGGAAGGGAGATATTGTTTCAGGGGTCCCACAGTTCAGCTCCCTGCACCCTCTTTGACGAGGTCCCCAGCAGTTGCCAGTTGGTTTAGGCTCCTGGCTGGTGAAAGAGTGGAACTCTGGATTTGAGACAGAGGACAGCAGAGGGCCTCGGGACCCTGGAGGATCTAGGACTGACAGCTAACTGCACTAGGAGCGCGTGGACAAAGGAGGACCCGCTGATTGTGGCTGTTCCCATGCAGCTGTTTTATAAGGTTGTCTGGAACCCTGAGCCATTCTCCTGAGGGAAATACAGTTAGGCACCCGCCAGCCTTTGGTCACAGTCCGGTCACCTGATCCATCCATGACCTTGGGCTGATTCTGCTTAAAGAGACCTTGGTCAGTGCGTATTGTTGATCAACCTTGAACTCACAGCCCACCACACTGCACAAACTCACACTTGAAGGACACATACGTGGCTCTCACATTTCTCCTGCAAGGACCATGACAGCACATCAGCTAAGATCACCAACAAAAAGCACACAGAGGTGAAGGACAGGGCAGAGCCGGCCACAAAAGGAATGAATGCGTGCTTATTGCAAGATGAAACAAACAGGCAGAGAGCGGATGGAACTGACCAAGACAAGGAAATTTTGTTGTTGTTGTTTTTGGTTTTTTTCTGATACTGGGGATCAAACTCGGGACCTTACACTTTCGAGGCATGCAGTGGAACCAGTGAGCTAAATCCCAGGCCCTAAGAGAAGGAAATTTTGAAAGGGGAAAATTAAGCCAAAAGAGAGAGATGGAGAGGGCTTCCCAAATGTAGTTAATTCATAACTGAGCAAATACAGTTGAGAAACCAACCTGCTGGGGGTGGGGGCTGGGCAGGAGCCAGTGGCCCCCAGGTCAGAGGGGGACTGGACGAGAGGAAGGAGGCTCGGTTGACAATGGGAACAGAAAGCGCCCTCCCCTTCCTTCCTCTGCTCCTCTCCGCTCCACGGAGAATGAGGCTTTGCTCCTGGGAAGCAGCCAGGGCACAGGTCAGCGGCCGGGGGACAGGAAGACCCACCCTGCTGAGGACTGGCCCTGTGACGTGGACACCCAGAGTCCTATCCACCTTCCCAGGGGCATTGCCAGCACCAGCTCTGCCACCTCTTCCCCCTCAGCTGCTGGTAGGAGGGAGCGGGGTGCCAGTGAGGCCCCTCTGCATAGGGAGGGCGGCCCTGGTCAGTCTGACGACGGTGGCCTCCCACCCGCTGCTTCAGGAAGACTGGCCTGGGGTCTCCATCTGCCCGAGCAGGGCCAGCGGTCCAGGGCAGCCCAGGGACCACAGAGCGCTGTCTGCCTGTGTCTGGGCCCAGTGTGGTGGCCCACGATGGCCACATCCTCCTTCTCCGGGTGGGGCCAGATGCGTCCACACCTGACTCAGACCCCACGGCCCTCTGCCTTGGTGATATTGTGATAGAAGAAGCCATAAATCATCTGCCTTCTAAATTCCTGTGGAGCCTCCTACCACTTTGTGAACTTGGGGACAGGCTCAGCTGACCTTTGTCCTTGGGCCACAGGCCTGGTCCGTGGTCCCAACCCAGCTCTTGCAAGAAAAAAGCAGCTGAGCCCTCGCTGCTGCAGCCCTGCTGGGGCCAGGGACCCCGGCCACACCATGGAAGCCACGGATCAGGACACAGAGGAGTGGAAGCAAGTGTTCCAGGAGTTAATTCAGGAGGTAAAACCATGGCACACGTGGACCCTGGTGACAGACAAAGACCTTCTCCCCGATGTCCTGGAGCAAGGCTGGTCGCAATACCAGCAAAGGACGTTCGCCAGGTGAGCAGGGAGGTGGGGGCACGTGTGAAACTGTCTCACAATGCAACTGGTGCGTGTTACTCGCTGGACATGGCCGGGGTTGGGGGCGGGGATCCTCAAGACGTCTGGGCTTCATTGAAGTTTTTTTCTCTCCTATTTAACTCCTAACAATAGCAGCGGTGGGCTCCAGTGTGGGTGATGCTAGCATGTACAGAATCCAGGCTGCAGGGCTGGGGTGGGGAAGGGAGAGAGGGGAGCTGTCCACTTGAGGCTGCTGCATTTGCTGCCACTGAGCTGGGAGACCCCAGGTCCACTAGGAGCCCCTGGGAAAGACCCTGTGCAGAGCGGAGGGGACCCCGGGAGAGGCCGGAAGAGCAGGCCACTGAGCAGCTTGCAGAACCCTCCTGAGCTGAGTCTTGGTAAAATGAGGCTCAGAGGTCACCCAACAGTTTACCCTCTTTTTTCTAGAGGGAGCCCCGGTGGGGCAGAAGGGGACAGAGGGTGGAGTCCTGGGGTCTTCCTGGCCACTGTGCCTCCTGGAGGGCTCTAAGTGGAGGAGGAGGCAGAGCTTCCCAGGCCAGGGGCTGGCATCAGGAGCCCCGGAGCAAAGTCTCAATCTGTTTATTTGCGAGAATCTGGAACTCTGGCCAAGGACACATGAAGCAGAAGTGCTGTGTGCTGGCTGGGGCAGAGCATGGCAGCTCTGGGTGCCCCGGTGAGTCCCCACAGCTGGTCTCATGGAGCTTGGAGTGTCTAGGCAGCTCCCCCTTGGTACACCCTGGCCTGCATCCTTCAGGCAGCCAGATCCTCTCTGCCAGGGCCCCAGCTCTCCGCTGTGATTGGCGGGGTCCCCGCCTCCCACCAAGCACGGCTGGCTTAGCTGCTGGGACCATAAACCCAGATTCGACCCAACACACAGTGCCCAAGATCGTGGAGGCAGTGGAAGAGAGAGCCAGAGAGTCGTAGGAAGAACCTAATCACTGCTGCCCACTTCCTACTGCCGGCGGGTCCCATGGCTCCAACCTGACTCCGAGTGGGTGGGGGTCCCTTTGTGACCATTCAGTGTCTCACCTACTCCCAAGATTCCTATCCCGGGCGCTGCCATCTTTCCCCACCTGTCCTATCAGCTCCTTGTTCTAATATCTTAGCCCAGACGGCTAGGGCAGGGTACCTTCTTGTACCTCATTGGAGGTCAAGGCATTCGGAATGAGAAATTCTCCAGGCCACCTGGAGCAAAGGAATTGGGACTGGTGGAGAGCAAAAGAAGAGAGAGCTGTCTTTGGGGTGGCTCAGGTCGGAGCTCCTGAGTATCTCAGGCCTAGTACAGGACATATTGGGCTCCCTCTCTGATCTGCAGCTCTGATTAATCCACAGCCACTTGTGGATTTCAGCGCAGGATTTGGGGAGCCTTTAGCAGGCTTCAGTCTGTGTATGAACGAAGCTGGCCTCGGGTCCAGTGACTGGAGTGCCAGTCCTGCCCCTGCGACCACTGAGCTTCGGAGTGTGCAGAGTTCTCAATGGCCCTCGTCTCTGCAGCGAGCAGGGTGGAGGAGAAGGTGTCCAAGGTCCCTCCCAGCCCACGTGACTTGCTACCACCACGGCAGGGGCACCACACCGAGGGTCACAGGGCCTGGCGGTGGCACAGGGGAGATGTGAGCAAAGGGCTAGACGTTTGCTCCGCTGCCAGCTGCACAGCTGATGCCGAGGCCCTTGTCCTCTGTCCCCGCAGGTTCCAGTGCTCCTCCTGCACACGCAGCTGGGGCTCCGCCCACGTCCAGGTTCTCTTCCACATGCACTGGAACAAGAAGAAGCGCAGGGGCCGCGTGAAGATGAGGATCTTCTCCCAGAGGTGTAAGAAGTGCACGCAGCCCCAGTTTGAGGCTGCTGAGTTCACGCTGGAGAACATCAGGCGGACCCTGACCAACCTGGTGTTCCGCATCCTGAAGAAATGCTACAAGGAGGGCTTCAAGACGATGGAGGAGGTGCCCACCGTCAAGGACACCAAACTGGAGGGGCCACACGACAGTCTCAACTGCGAGGCCTGCCTGCAGGGCTTCTGTGCCCAGAGTGGGCTGAGCCTGGGCCCACAGTCACAGGTGCCTCCCTCGCTGTCCACCCCCTCCGAAGACACAGGGGCGCCCAGGGTCACTGCTACCTGCAGCCACCGCCCCTGCTCGCCACCCCCCAAAGTAGACAAGCTCCTTGTGTCAACAGTGGACCCTAACCCTCCCAAGCCTCACCCCAAGGTCAGCCACGCCTCAAAACCATCAGCTGCTCCAAAATATCCAACCATAGAGGTGTCACCCACATTAATAGTAACCCCCAAAGTCTCTAACCCTCCCAAGGCTGACCTTAAGGTTAGCCACACCTCAAAACCACTGGATACTCTCAGAGTTCCAATCGAAGAGGTGTCCCCTACATTAATAGTGGCCTCCAAAGTCTCTAACCCTCCCAAGGCTGACCTTAAGGTTAGCCACACCTCAAAACCATTGGATACTCTCAGAATTCCAATCGAAGAGGTGTCCCCTACATTAATAGTAACCCCCAAAGTCTCTAACTCTCCCAAAACTTACCCCAAGTTCAGGCACGCCTCAAAGCCATTGGATACTTTAAGAATTCCAACCAAAGAGGTGTCACCCGCATTAGTTGTGACCCCCAAAGTCCCTAACCCTCCCAATGCTGATCCCAGAGTATTCAACTGGCGGGCCATTCAAGTACCTTCTCCCACAAACAGCCAGACAGCAGCAGACACACCTCTCGGGGACCCCAGGGCAACATCAGGAGAGATGTCACCTGCATCCCCCCTGGCTGCTAAGTCCACATGGGGCAGAGGCCACTCCTCTTGGAACCAGACAAGGCCCATGATTTGCCAGCCGAACACCAGTGTCCCAATGCCCCCCCTAAGTGAGCCTTGTGATTGTAGCCCCCTGCAGAACTGCAGCCCAGTGCATATGTGCCTGCGCTGCCCCTGCTGCCTCCTTCTGATTGTCGTCATCATTGTGGTGGTGTGGTGGTATTGGTCCTAAAGCTCTCAGGAGCTTGAAGCATGACGCTACATGAGGAGCCCCACGCTGTAGTAGGAAAGGGCCCGAAAGTCCACAGACCAGAGATGGACCCTGGGGCCAGGGAGCTGGAAACCAGCTGCCTCATCCATAGGTGGGGTCTCAGGGGTGGTGGGGGGGAATGCTCCGGAAGGAGACACGGTGGCGGCTGCACGACAGTCACTGAAGTGTTCCTTTTTAAATGGTTCGTTTTGTTGTGACTTTCACCTCAATTACACAAGAAAAAGACTCCTGTAGTTTTGTTCATTCTTGACAGAACCAAGTCTGAAGCGGTTAGGACTCAAAACCAACTGCCTGTTGGAATCTTGTGAATCCCGTAGGCTGCCGCATCAACCAATTCAGAGCCCCTCTCACCTCGGTCTTTGGAGACTTTGGGCTGAAACCTGGGTTCTCAGAGCATAGAGCTGAGGGGTGAGCCAGGACAAGACACTGGGGAGGAACAGACAGTCTAAAAAGTCCACTTAGTGTTTCTTTAAAAAGTATTATTTCTTGTACCAAGTTTACAACATATGCTAAAATATTGAAATGATCTTTGTGAATATGCATGAATAATAAGCATGCATAAATTTGGAGTGCTTGGTCAGTGTCTTTTGTTGGCTGAATTGTGCAATCAAAAATGCTGGAGGAAAATGACCAAAGAAACAAGCATGGAAGTCTGTGGGTAGATTCTCACTGGAACTGGGAAACTAAAGTAGCTTTTTAAAAATATTCCATTCTGGGGCTGGGGATTTAGCTCAGTGGTTTCACCGCCTGCCTCACAAGTGCAAGGATCTGAGTTCGATCCCTGGTACCAAAAAATAAAAACAAAAATAAAAATATTTGGTTCCGTAGCTGGGTATGATAGCGGAGGCTGAGCCAGGAGGATTGCAAGTTCAAATCCCACTTAGGCAACTTAGTGAGACTGTCTAAAAAATGAAATAAAAGGGGCTGGAATATAGCTGAGTGGTAGAATCCCCCTAGGCTCAATCTCCAGGACAGCACACACACAAATCCTGTTCTGATTCTGGGCTCTTCCCCTGAGCAGGCGGGGCTCTTCCCTGCAGTGCAGTGTGTCGGGGCAGCACCTCCACTGTCCCCCCAGTTCCTGAGCTTCCTGCTTCCCCTGTGGCCCCCCAGTGTCCAGGGCACAGGCTGGGCTCCCCCCCTGCCCTCCCTCCCGAACCCAGGGAAGAGCCCAGTGGCTGGGGAAGGGACGGCATTGCTGGATGGGTGAGTGCGGCGCCCGTGGGAGGCCTGGGTGGTCTGCACGCGTGTGGCCGTAGACAGCCGCCCTTCCTCTCCTCACGTGTATTCCTGTGTGATCCCAGCTCGCCCACTGCCAAAGACATGCTGCTTCCTGAATTGAAAACGTGTGTTTTAGCTCACATGAGACAATGAATTCGGGACACTTGGTAAACAAGTTACAAAAATGCTCACGTGAGCGGCCTGGCCTTATAGACTTCCCTGCCGCTGTCCTCAGAACTGAGGCTGCTGGAGCCGGGAGAGCTGGCCTCGGAGAGCCAGCCCAGGGCAGAGGCGCCACCTGGCAGGGGTTGGGGACAGGCAGTGGGAGCTTGGGAGCCCCTGCAGGCCGGGCTGGGGGACCCTGCGGGGCCTGATGTGACCTGTCAGCCCTCCTGTCTTCTTCATTCCTGCCCTTACCTGCCGGCCGTGTCACTCCTGGGCGCTGCCTGTGCCGGGCAGCCGTTTTCTGTGTTGTCCCCTAGAGCCAGCGGCATTCACCGGAGCTCTAGGCCCACCTCACCAAGTCAGACCCCAGCTTCTGACTTCTCAGCACTGCCAGGCTGCAAACCCAGCCTCCAGCCCCACCCCCGCCTTCCTTTCTCCCTGTAGAGTGCCCTGGGCATGCACATCCTGGGCTCGAGGGAGAAGGGACTGCAGAGTGTTAGGGCTCTCTCTGCAATTCCCTTCTCGCTGGGCAGCCTCAAATTCAAACTACATCTCCCAATCAGATAAAACAAGCAATTTTCTGCTTTCCTATATGCCCTGGTCCCCAAGCGAGGCCTTGCCTGGCATGTGGCCCCTTCTGGGGGCCTGCTCCCCAGGCTTGGCCATGTTGGGATCCCCTTGCTTCCTAATATTGCTCTTCTTTCTGTCCGCCTCTGAATGGCTACTTGAGAGGGAGGCTTGGTGCAATCCCAGCTGTGGCAGAGTGAGGGGGAGTTTGGCAGTTGTTACTGCTGCATCTCAGGAGAGTTCTCCAAGGCCGCTGGCCTCTACGGCAAAAGCAAAAGTTAACAAGGCCAGTGCAGCCTCAGGGAGACAGTGAGTGCCAGCCCGTGTGTGCTGCGTGTGTAATTTTACATTTTCCAGCAGCCACATTTTGAAAAGCAGGTGAAACTAGTTTTTATAACTCATTTTATTAAAGGCAATGTACAAAAAAGTCGTCATCTTAACCTGTAACCAAGACCAAAATTCTTCATGACATATTATTTATTATTTATTGATTCATCATTTACCTATTTATTTATTGTGGTTCAGGCAGGCCTTGAACTCACTATGTAGACCAGGACATCCTTGAAATCCCAGCAACCCTCCTGCCTCAGCCTCCCGAGTGCTGGGATAACAGGCATGTGTCACCACATCCACCTAATGAGATATTTTAAAGATATTCTTTTTATACTGCCTTTGAAATCAAGGGTGCATTTTACACTTAGCCACAAATTTTCAGACATTATTTTTTTTTATGAAAGATCCCTCCTCTGTGTTTAGATTTCATAAACTTTATAATTAGAAAATGGGGTTTCACTTGCCCAAGTTGCTCTGCACATAAAGTTGTCCAACAGTGGAATAGAGAATACATTTTGAAAATTAAATTTAAAGTAGTGTAAATTAAGTGTCAGTTCCACGGTGAGTCTAGCAGCAGAGACCTGGGGCTTCGACAAAAGGACACTTGGTATTTGTGGGCTTCCAGGAAACGCCTGGGCTTCTTGCTTGTGTCTAACCACCGGGTAACATTTCACCCACACCCTGTGGACTCTGGCACCTGACCAGAGGTAGTCCGTATTTGTCAGTTCCTAATCTGAATCTTCACACGGACAGCTGCAGTGTTTTCCAAGTATTTCTGCAAGGGTGATTACTAATCAGCACGAATGGTATTAGAAATGTTCATAGTGAGCCCGCTCCAAGGCAAGACAGCTGGCAGGGGAGCCTGGTGGAGGACAGCAGCTCACAGCACATCGGACACGAAGGAGAGGGAGAAGGGAGGAGCCAAGCCATGCCCCCAATGACCCACTTCCTCCAACCAGCCCCCACCTCCTAACGCCAAGTCAATAATGAGCCCGCAAAACCCAATCACCTCCCAAGAGCCTGGCCTGTGAGTGCATGAAGCTCTTGGGGAGCACGTAGACAGACATCCTAACAATTCTATTGGCGGAATGACTGATGTTCACGGAATGAGATCATGCAGGTGTCTCCCCTCACCCAGGGGATTTGAGCCCTGGGAGAACGACACCAGACTTCCAGCCTACAAAATTGCAAGAGACAAATTGGTGTTCTTCTAAGCAACTAAATCTGCAGTTATTTTGTAAGAGTGGAGAGACTCACGAGCTGACATAGGAGGACTTTATTTCAGGTTTAAAGTGTATACCAGCTCAACAGACTCCTGTCCAAAGGAAGAGCGTTGAACAAAGAGAAGTTCCAGCTTGTACACATTTTGTCGAAGGAGGTGGTTTTTCTAGCGACGTAGCAAGTGAGTTTACCAGAACGCGACAAGGGCAGACAGTTTTCTAACTTTGTCTTGAAAGATAGTGTCTTATGAATCATATGAGAACTGTAAAGTTTGTTTACAGGACATAGTAGTCAATTTTATCTGTACCAGAACAAGGAGTTGCAGCTCCAGGGGAGGGGAGTGGTGGGGCAGGGGGAACTGTCCACGGCTGGAATGGGCTTGTTTTTCTTTAAGTCCTGCTTCAATTTCTCCCAACAGCAACCGGAAATGCATACGTCTTAGTGTCCCCATCCGTGAAGCAAATGCACAGTCTCTTGGCCCCTTCCTGAGTCATAACCTAAGCTTCCGACTGCCCTTTCCCAAGTGTTTTTCAGTGAGGATGTTGAAAATACTGGCACCAGTGGAGTTCAGACAGGAAGGACCCAAAGGAGGCAGCTGGACTGATGACCTTCGGTCCTGCAGATTGCAACTTGAACAAATAAGAAACAGCCAGCAACTGGAAACGTCCAAGAGAGAAGTGGGAATTTGAGAAGATTGGCGGAATCCCCTGTGATGAGTGTTATTCTAAGTTGTCCAATTAAATTACTAAACTCACAGCCTGGCAGGCCCCCTGTCTGTCCAGGGAATCTTTCTGGCTTCGGTGGGGATCTGATTCCCTCAATCCTGAGGCCTCATTGATGACAGTGTTATTTCATGGTTACCTTGTCCACTGCTATGCTGAGAATATTTTAAAAATCAGACTGGCAACAGTGGAGATACAAGAATATTTTTTAAGTCAGACTGGGAACAGTGGAGATACAAGAAGTTGGCTTGCGCACAAATATTGCTCGGCTCCCTGCGGGACAGAAATAGCCCAGGGGCCCAGAAAACTGGGCTTCCCACAGAACAGGGTTGCAAGCCAGGCTGGACATTTGCCTCCACAAAAGAAAGTGCAAGTTTTTAAAACTGTGCTGAAGAAAAAAATACATAATAGACAATTGACCGCAGTGACCGTTTTTTAAGTGTACTGCTGAGTCACAAAGCACATTCGTGCTGTTGTGCAGCAAATCTCCAGGACTTTTTAATCCTGCCACTCCCCCGCCCTCCTCCCCTGCAGCCCTGGAAGCGGGCATTCTGCTGTCTCTTCCTGGGATTTGACCACCGTGGACACCTCAGGGAAGTAGAATCACAGTGTTTGTTTTTTACGACTGTGTCCTTCACTTAGTGCAATGTCCTGCAGGTGCCTCTATGAGCCCTGGGAGTGGCACTCAACGTACAGCACTTGCCTGGCAGGCCAGAAGCCCTGGGTTCGGTCCCCCCCAAATGAAAAGGAAAGCTCATCCATACTGTATCGCGAGTCAGCATTCCCTTCCTTCTCAGCCGGCGCACCCCATCGTACACACTGCACCTCGTCACCGCGTTTTGTTCACCCGTTCATCTCTGGGTGGACCTGTGCGTGACTTGTACTTTCTGAGAATAGCGCTGCTGTAAACATGGCTGTGCAGACGTCTCCTTGAGAAGCTGCTTTCACTTTCGGTTTTTGTTTTAGTTTCTGTTTTAGATTTTGTTTTTGTTTTGCC